AACACTGATAAAAAGGACAATCTATTGGGAAAATGAAGCAGTATCAGCCTATTGTCCCAACATCAAAATAAAACTGTATTTATGCCTGCATGTCACCTGGTATCTCTTGAGCACAGGATGGCTACACCAGCTGCTCACCAGGGACACAGGTGACTGGCAAGTCTGCAGTCAGACCGAGTTGCTATGGGATATAACCGGGACTCTTGAAGGGGCCATAACCTGTCTGGGCAGGTATAAATGTCTCTCCCTTCAATGCATTTTGCTCCATCAAGAAAGTCTTTTTAAATGCATATAAAGTGATAAATTCACCCCACCCTAATGGGTTTGCTTCCTTTCCTGCAATGCACTGGAGAAACAGCCAGGCTGAGTCTACTCAGAAATCATGGCTTTGTGGCCATTTCCCTGGCTGCACTTCTCTGCATGCCACCCTGCATGCCATTGCTCTTCCAGTTAGACACTGCATACATGGGCCAACTGGAATGAGACAAAGATGGAAATTCCATAGGTCTGTTTACACTGCCACTCAGGATCAGAGAACTAAAATCCTGTGTCAGGCATGGCACTGACACACTGGCTGTAGATTCTGACTAAGGAAGATGACAACCATGCCAAGGTATGTGCTCCCCATGGTAAGAAGAGGAAGACAAGGGCACAGTTCTATTCCCCGTGTTTTCCCCGAATCTATTTTCCTGCTTTACTAACCCTCCCATTCACAACAGGTAGCTGGGTCCTACCTGTCTGGATTATAAGAGCTGAGAGATTTCAGAAAAACTCAGCACCTTCAGCAGCACGTGTGGCAACAGGACAGCGCGGGAGCGAATTTCACACAAACAGCAGTGTGTGAAACACAGGAAAACAGGACAGTTACGCCTCTTGCATAAAAGCCTGCTGTTGGAAAAAAGCCTAAAGCAACAACAAAAGGTTAATCTTCCACCAAAAAGTTTATACAATAAAAATCGTATGTTTTCTTGCAAGTGGTTTACTTTGTGCCAGACCTTAACAGCATGTGGCACATAAACAACAACATCTGAGCAAGACTGAAGTCAGCCACTGATGGGAAACAGACCCCCTATCTCTGTGCGTAGGTTGGTCATGGACACCAACTTTATGCTTAAGGTGTAAATTTGACACTAGTTTTACATTGGTTACCTTCCCACGAAGAGCACTGGAAATCTATGTGTATAAAGCACTACAGGGACAAAATATAATTTGAATATTATAAGAATCATAGCAGTAATAATAGCAAACAATTTACATTAATGTGATTTGAAAATCAGTCCTTTTAAGTTCCACACTAAAATAAAAGTGGAAGGCAACACATATAGAACAAAAAGAACATAAGATGGGGATGATTTAACAGCATTTTTGAGTTTTAATCACCCGTGGATAAAGTCAGTAACCAGATACTATGAAAATAAGTGCAAAAATCTATGTAGGATAAAAATATCTGAATTTTTGAATGATACTTTCTTCTTCAATTTTGTTTCTCCTTTTCTTTCAATTTGGCAAGTGTTCCTACTCTCTTGCTAGATTGATACTGACAAAGTTACTGATGAAGTAATGGTGTATACACAAATTAACTACAACATTTAGAGAAGTTTTAAAAGGCGATTCTGCAAAACAACATTACTTCTACTTACACATACTCTGTCCACCTCCCACAAACAGTGTTTTGGAAGGAATAAGAACAATATGAGAGAATAAATGTTTATCAATGCTCGTCCCTTTAAACCAGGTTGCACCAAATATTGCCTTAATTTCTTCCATTTTCTGAGGATAATTAAATATTTAAAAGAAAAAAACAAAACAAAACCAAGGTCTCAATGGGAAAATAAGATTTGATTGATGGATCTGAGAAGTCTTCTCAGCTGAGAATACTTAATGTCAAAGTACTATACACACTGACAAGTGGGATTGGCAAAGAGGACAGAAAAAAGAAATGGCACTCACCATCTTAAAAATCAATTCTTAGCTCCCTTAAATTGTCAAGAGCTCATACTTCAGTCTCACTCAGAACAGGTACTGCTCCTTTTGTGACAGTGTAACACCTAACCACATCTTTCTGCATTTTCAAATTTTGGTTCACCATTTGATTCTAACTGTTGGTTCTGCTGCCAGATTCTTCATTCATAATTCAGCCTCTCCTGACAAGACTGAAGGAAAAAAAAAAATACTCAGAGCTAAATACTTATTGGTATTTAGGATATTCAGCTGAGACACAGAAGACCCACGTTTGAGAAGCAGGTCTTACAGTATTCATTGCAAAGGAAGACAGCTCTACCAAGAGAGACTTCATGGTCAACACAGATATTTATCACAATCCAGCTAAAGCAACCCCTCGCACAGCTTGTTCGTTCCTGCAAACCCAGTTATTACCATGCATAATTTTCCTGCTTGTCACAAACTTCAAAGTCTACCTTAGGGCTCAAAAAAAGACAATTTCTGCATGTTAGCTGCAGCAACGCTGCTTATTTATCTTCACATTATCTTAAACAGGATCATATTTCATCACAACATTGCAATTCTCACTTGTCTTGCTTACATTTAATAATTGGTACCACTGCAACTATATTAGCAAACACCACCGCAGCAAGGTCTTAAAAAAGATACAATTCCTTTGACTAATCCTGAAATTTTTTTTCCCAACTAGTCTTTTTAAGAAAAGGTATTCAGCTCCATCTTCTGCCAGATTCAGATTATTACCCTCTGAGGCTGAGGGCTGCACAATATAAAGGGATTTATTTTCCATTTGTTAAAAATCTTACAAGATTGCAAAAGGCAGAAGTCCAACCTACTGCTGTGTAGATACCTATCAAAGTGAAAGGGACACCTCTTCCCCACAGGTCCATTAACACATCTCATTACTGCCCTTAGCAGCACCAGTAACAATCCTTGGAAGACCTGTCTTTTAACTCAGAAGTAATTTAGTGCATTTTGCCCTTGTTTGCTGTGATAATTATAAACACAGACGACAAAGGGCACTAAAGCCAGGCTGCCTAACAAGACTCAATTAGCTATTTCGAAGAGCTACAGAGAAGTCACTGGGAAAAGAATTTTAAAAAAAAACAAAACACAAAACCCCAGTCTACTAAATACTAACATGCTCTCTCACTCTGCCCCTCTAATATTATGAAAATCCGGTTATTTTAATTAAAATAAAAATTAAAACTGCATGGTTTACAACCACCTTTTCGAAAGCCCTTTGCTGCCCTCATGTGTTTCACAGAGTAACTCTTGAAGTCTACATACAAAATAAAATAAGACCTCCAAGCAAGACAACAGCTTCTCCTGTTATGAACAAGACATAGCTCATGGAAATAATAACTGGAAAATAACTGAATTTTTCTCTGCTTCTTCTAGGAATGCTAAGTTGACTGGTTTATAATTCAATTACTATATATTAAAAATAAGAAAATGTATTCAGCTTGAGGTAATAATAATTTCCAAGCAATAGATTTGAAAGCTAGTAGGCCAATTTATTGAAAGTTAATGACGTTAGCCTGGTAGAAAATCTGAAACACTTTATTTCAAAACATAATTTTCATCAAAGCTTAATTTCAGCACCCTTCTATTGCTTGAACGGACTGGCAAAGCAACTTATTTCATGTTCTATTCCAGTGTAGAAGAAAATCATTTGACTGTTGCATTAAGGCATCTGTTACACTCACAATCAGTACATCAAAAGCTACAGTTTCCATATCAAGCTTTCCTTTGACACTGTACCAGCATCTTCTTCCTGAGGGTCTTCTACCTGACACAGATGCTGGTAGAAGATACCCAGAGTCACACTTTGATGCATTTTGCACTCAGAATTCGGCTGCTGAGGTTCAGACCATCCTTAATAAGGCTTCTTCGTTCTCTTCTCGTGCTACTCTCTTCACCCTGTCCAGTCCCTGTGCTGATTTCAGTCTCAATTTTGTCAATATGAGTTTTTAATAAGTTGTAGTAACATCTCTTATGCCAATCCTGGGTTTACAATGATAGAACATATCAGAATGACCAGTAGCATCTGCTCTGTTACGAAGCTCTTCTGTACTCTGTCTGTAAACTGTAAAGGGCCCTTCTGTACCAAAACTGGCAACCATTTAGCCAGTCCCCCAGCAGCCGCTCCACTGGAGGGGTAAAGTGGAAACAAGAGCTGGATCATGATCCCCATGGGTTTGTTCAACCCTGGATATAAGCTATGTGCTGGAATCTGATAATAAATATACATATGTATGTATTGCCAGGCTGTTCCTGAACTGTCGTGATTGTTTTATCATTAAAACTGCCACAATATGAGTGCTTTTAAACTCACCTGCTTCTCAGTAATTACAATACAGTGACTTCTCTCTTTGCTACAGAATGTGTAGAATTCCAAGCTATAAAGTAGAATAACTTTTTTTTCTTTCTTTCCATCACCAAGAAAAGCATGATAAGTGTTCTGCAAATAAACACAAGCGCTTCTTTACCAGTGGGGTGCACAGGAGGAAATGGTTGTCATCTCATTAATAAAGTACTGAGTTTTGTTCTCTGTTCCCCTGACAGAAAACAACTAGTATTGTAGTCTCACTCTAGAAAAGCTTTTTGCCATTGCTCCTTAGTTCCTCATTTATTTAAAGGAGCAAATGCAGCCTAAGTACTGCCAACATCAAAATACTTTCACTGTTCACAGAAAATGGGATATTAGTAAAAGTTGGCATTCTGCAACTTAAAATTCCAACACCAGGAAAGCCTCCTGTTTTCCAACCGCAGCCCTGCAGGTTTGCTCTTGGCACCAAAGGACAGGGCACCTGTCCCTTCACGTCGTGGCAACAGCGTGGTGGTGGGAAAAGCAACAGGAACTGCAACACAGCGCAGGTTTACCCATCCGCTCTTCTCACAAACACGGTGTAAAAACATCTGGTGATGGAAATCAACGACAACTACCGTGTTAACTTATACCAGCCTAATGAAGTTTTAAGTGCCAACCCCTAACATGCTTGATGAAGCACCAGAAGGTGACCAGTCTCTGGAAACCGATGAGGCACCTTGAGCACCGACACTTACCCTGCGGGCACCGGCACGGGCTGTGCAGCACCGGGGGGCTCTTCCCTCCCCACCGCGGCCTCCCCGGGCTGAGGCCTACGGACTTTATCCCTGCTGCCTTGCAGAAGCAACTACGCCTTCTCTCCCACTTGCAGCCCCGTTTGCAGGCACCACCTCTCCCCCCAGCGAAGCCCTGCAATGAACTCGTAACCTCGCCGGACAGGACCACCCCGCACCTCCCCTCCCCGCAGCCCTCCCGTGCAGCTCCCGCACGCAAAAGCCCTGCCTGAAACCCGCGCTCTTCCCGGGAGCCCCGAGCGCCCCGACACCCCCCAGCACCAGAGCGGGG